AGTATTTTGGGAGCAGAGAGGCTAGAATTTAGGTGTCTCACAGTACCCAGGGGATTATCCAAATTTCAAGCTTAGTCCAGAAATTTAAAAATAAATAAGTAAATAAAATCCCCCTTTGTGTGAGGTCTGTAGATTCAAAAGGAACAGACACAAACCAACCTGTGAACTCAGAGTCAGTGGACTCAGGAGCTCTGTCTATGTTCAAGGCCACAATCAGTGGGTAGACATTTTCCTCTGTCTTATGGGCATTTTACAGGGAGTTATTATTTGAGTTTTCTTTAAAACAAAACAAAAAACAAACCCAATAATTTTCTTAGCCTGTAATCCCAGCACTCGAGAGGCTGAGGCAAGAGAATCACTGTGAGTTCAAAACCAGAGTAGGCTACATAGTGAGTTCTAAGCCAGCCAGCTTTGAGCCACAGTATAACAGTATCTCAAAAAACACAAAAGAAATAAGGAAAAATGGCACTTATATGTGTTTGTTGAACTGATAAGACAAAGATGTAAAAGACAGGTACAAAAATAGATCTTTTATAACCCAGAACCCATTGTTCAGCATGAGTTTTGATACACATAAGAAGGAATATCATACTCAAAACAGTTCAAAGTGATAATGGTGTTGATAATAAGGTTGCTTCTAAGAATAAAGAGATGGTCATTTAAAAGCAAACCCCCCCAGCAGTAGCAACAATAACGTTTTCATTTATTACTGTTGTGGATAGCACTCCGCCAACGCTCCTGCTAATTCTTACTAGCCCAATTTGATTGTATTAGTTGTAATTTTGGAGTGCATGTGCTCACCTTTCTTTTTAAAGTAGCTGATGTTGATAATTTCTTTTAGGGGTGAATCGGGTGCTGGGAAGACAGAAAACACTAAGAAAGTCATCCAGTACCTTGCTCATGTTGCCTCATCACACAAAGGAAGAAAGGACCATAATATTCCTGTAAGTTTTTGCTCCATTGCTTTTTGTCTGAGTTTCATTTCATGATTTCAAAAGCAAACCCAAGAAAGCACAGCTGTTTCATATACTTCTGGTTAGCAGCTCCCTTGCCACACACCCAGCTACCCTCAAGAGGAGCCAGGCACAGTATGAGGAAGTTAAAATGGGAAAATGGGTTTTTTACAATGCACATGGGAATTATGGTTGTTGCCTGAAGCCTTATTTCTTGCAGAGATTGGTGAGGATGGTCATAAATTAATGAGCAGCGTTTTTGAGGATATTTTTTCCCATCAAATGAATATCTGTAAATAATTTTAGTAGTTCTTTCTGGACTTTCAGAGTAGCCTGTAGGTGCTGCCTATAGCAGCTTGAGGGGTTGGGAGATCTGTGGGAAGAATCAGCGATTAAATACAGAGTACTAGTTGGTGATCCCTAATTTTTAGAGACACAGTGGTAATCAATAAGCTGAGAGGCCGCCAGCCAAACCAGCTTAAGCAGTCACTGCACGCTGGTGTGGTGCTTTGTGCTAATGTCTGCTTATCTGTTTGCAATGAGCAGCAGGAATCGCCTAAACCAGTGAAACCCCAGGCAAGTGCTTTTCCTTATGCTTCTCAGTTTTGAGTGCTTACCCTAATCTGTCTTTACATCGAGCCCCTCTTAGAAGCAAATGCTCCTAGTTCTGAGTGGAATCTATTCTAAAAAATACTTAATGTTGAAAATGTATCATTTGAAGTCTCATTCTTTCATGAGGAGCATGTCCTTTTGCTTTATGTTTGTTTTATAGATAAATTTGAATATTTTTCCTTTTATGATGACATTGAAACACATGTTTATGAAGCCTTTAAACTTATAGTTTCATCTGTCATGCTAGGTAGAATTATCTTAATATTTCTGAAACACATGAAAACTTTGTTTTTGTGCTGTCCATTAAATTTTGAATTGGGGATACAACCTTGAAAGTTGTACTTTTGGGGCTAATAAGTTTCTAATCTGTCAGTATACTTTATTCCTATAGAGTGTTTTAACCCAAAGCCTGGCCTTGTTGTATTTAATAATACAAAATAAATTAGATTTTTTTTTTTTTTTTTTTTTGTCCCAGGCAAGCAGTGGAGGAATTATTAGATGCCTGCCATCTAACTCTAGAGAGCCTAACATCCAGCAAACCACAAACCACAGCAGGACTTCATTTCCTGCTTCCTGGGCGAGGGAGGGCAGAACCCAGGCAGAGTCCATGGGCGAGCAGAACCTTGGGCTTTGGGCCTGATCCTTCCCTAGCATGGGAATGGTTTTGATTTGTCTTGTCTACCACAAGCATGATGGGGGACAAGTTAATTTAAAGCAAGAACCCTAACCCTAAATCTGTATTTAGAGCAGTAATGAGATAGTGTTAAATAAGCAAGACAGTGATTGAGAATTGCCATTTACATTTTGTTTCGATGTCATTTTAAAGTATAGAGTGCATCCCTGTTGTATGTGAGCAGCATGCTGCCCCTAGATGTCACCAGTAGACAAGTTCTCCCAAAGAAGGAGGCTGCTGCACTGGGCTGCACTGTCCCTGCTTAATGCATGTCTCATTGCATGTCTCATTCCCCAGCACTGCCTTTGATGCATTCACTGCTGCACTAGTGAAGTCAAGTAGCCAGGTGGTGTTTTTAGAAATACCAGAATACTGGCTCTCAATTTTTCTCCTCCAGCCCACCTGAAGAATATAAGTTTGTACAGTTGTCACTTGGTGGGATTGGCTCCAGGTCACCTTCCTCCTCAGCCTCCTCAGAGGCCCAGACTCCCACGTGGTCAGGCCCCATATATAAAATGGTGTAGTGTTTGTATAGAACCTGTGCACATCCTCTTGTGTAATCTTAGTTACTTCTAGGTTACTTCTAAGACCTGACACAGCGTAGATGCTATGTCAACAGCTGTTGCACCATACTAGGGAACACGGATTCGGGGCGGGGGCGGGGGGTGTCTGTGTTCCTACAGCTGCTGTACTTTGTTTCCCTGAATGTTCTCATTGTGTTCGTGGTTGGACCTGGGGTTGTGGAACTCATAGAGGGCTGGCTGTACCTTGCAGAGTCACTGTTTGGATTTTCTTTTCTTCCCTTTTGCTTCCTCTACCTCTTTTATTCCCCTGGTTTCTGAATTTATATTGAACTCTGTAGGCCAGATGTAACTCCAGTTCTCAAGAGCCATTTGAATACATTTCTCCCAGTAGACATTAGGTATACTATACAAACAAGAGTGAAGACATTTCTGGGCTCCCGTCTTTGTCTGTCTTTCTGTATTGGTTCTTTTTCTTAAGCAACTATATTGCAATATAATT